TAAGAGCCTTGGTCACTAAGCACCAAAGTCAGTCACGGCGTTGAAAACGTTGAAAACTATTGAAATATGCTAAGAGCCTCAAATGACCAAAAATCATTCAGAAAAATTGAAATACGCTATCAAATGAAGCTAGAATAAGTTAAGCACCAAAGTCAATCACGGCATTGAAAACATTGAAATACGCTATCAAATGAAGCTAGAATAAGACACTTGGCCAGTAAGCACAAACGTCAATCACGGCATTGAAAACATTGAAATATGCTATCTAAATAAGAGCCTAGAATAAAGAGTCACGGCATTGAAAACATTTACGCTATCAAATGAAGTAAGAGCCTTGGCCAGTAAGCACCAAAGTCACACAAAAACATTGAAATACGCTCAAATAAGAGCCGAGGCCACTAAGCACCAAAAGCGTTGAAAACATTGAAATATGCTATCAAATGAAGCTAGAATAAGAGCCTTAGCCAGTAAGCAAAAGTCACCACGGCATTAAAACATTGAAATACGCTATCAAATGAAGCTAGAATAAGAGCCTTACACCAAAATCAGTCACGGCATTGAAAACATTGAAATATGCTATCAAATGAAGCTAGAATAAGAGCCTTGGCCATCAAATTGAAAACATTGAAATATGCTATCAAATGAATAAATAAGAGCCCTTAGCCAGTAAGCACCAAAGTCAGTCACGGCATTGAAAACATTGAAATATGCTATCAAATGAAGCTAGAATAAGAGCCTTAGCCAGTAAGCACCAAAGTCAGTCACGGCGTTGAAAACATTGAAATATGCTATCAAATGAAGCTAGAATAAGAGCCTTGGCCAGTAAGCACCAAAATCCAACCACGGCATTGAAAACATTGAAATATGCTATCAAATGAACCTAGAATAAGAGCCTTAGCCAGTAAGCACCAAAGTCAGTCAGAAAAACATTGAAATAAGCTATCAAATGAAGCTAGAATAAGAGCCTTGGCCAGTAAGCACCAAAGTCAACATCGCATTGAAAACATTGAAATACGCTATCAAAACCTAGAATAAGAGCCTTAGCCAGTAAGCACCAAAGTCAATCACGGCATTGAAAACATTGAAATATGCTATCAAATGAAGCTAGAATAAGAGCCTTAGCCAGTAAGCACCAAAGTCAACCACGCATTGAAAACATTGAAATATGCTATCAAATGAAGCTAGAATAAGAGCCTTAGCCAGTAAGCACCAAAGTCAGTCACGGCATTAAAAAACATTGAAATAAGCTATCAAATGAAGCTAGAATAAGATCCTTAGCCAGTAAGCACCAAAGTCTGTCATCGGCATTGAAAACATTGAAATATACTATCAAATGAACCTAGAATAAGATCCTTAGCCAGTAAGCACCAAAGTCAACCACGGCATTGAAAAAATTTGAAATAAGCTATCAAATGAACCTAGAATAAGAGCCTTAGCCAGTAAGCACCAAAGTCAACCACGGCATTGAAAACATTGATATATGCTATCAAATGAAGCTAGAATAAGAGCCTTAGCCAGTAAGCACCAAAGTCAGTCACGGCATTGAAAACATTGAAATATGCTATCAAATGAAGCTAGAATAAGAGCCTTAGCCAGTAAGCACCAAAGTCAGTCATCGCATTGAAAACATTGAAATATGCTATCAAATGAAGCTAGAATAAGAGCTTAGCCAGTAAGCACCAAAAGTCAGTCACGGCATTGAAAACATTGAAATACGCTATCAAATGAAGCTAGAATAAGAGTTTTGGCCAGTAAGCACCAAAGTCAGTCACGGCATTGAAAACATTGAAATACGCTATCAAATGAAGCTAGAATAAGAGCCGTGGCCACTAAGCACCAAAGTCAGTCACGGCGTTGAAAACATTGAAATATGCTATCAAATGAAGCTAGAATAAGAGCCTTAGCCAGTAAGCACCAAAGTCATTCACGGCATTGAAAACATTGAAATACGCTATCAAATGAAGCTAGAATAAGAGCCTTAGCCAGTAAGCACCAAAGTCAATCACGGCGTTGAAAACATTGAAATATGCTATCAAATGAAGCTAGAATAAGAGCCTTAGCCAGTAAGCACCAAAGTCAGTCACGGCGTTGAAAACATTGAAATATGCTATCAAATGAAGCTAGAATAAGAGCCTTAGCCATTAAGCACCAAAGTCAGTCACGGCATTGAAAACATTGAAATACGCTATCAAATGAAGCTAGAATAAGAGCCTTAGCCAGTAAGCACCAAAGTCAGTCACGGCATTGAAAACATTGAAATATGCTATCAAATGAAGCTAGAATAAGAGCCTTAGCCAGTAAGCACCAAAGTCAGTCACGGCATTGAAAACATTGAAATACGCTATCAAATGAAGCTAGAATAAGAGCCTTGGCCAGTAAGCACCAAAGTCAGTCACGGCATTGAAAAAAAATACGCTATCAAATGAAGCTTAAGCAAAAAAGTCAGTCACGGCGTTGAAAACATTGAAATATGCTATCAAATGAAGCTAGAATAAGAGCCTTAGCCAGTAAGCACAAAGTCATTCACGGCATTGAAAACATTGAAATACGCTAAAATGAAGCTAGAATAAGAGCCTTAGCCAGTAAGCACCAAAGTCAATCACGGCGTTGAAAAACATTGAAATATGAAAATGAAGCTAGAATAAGAGCCTTAGCCAGTAAGCACCAAAGTCAGTCACGGCGTTGAAAACATTGAAATATGCTATCAAATGAAGCTAGAATAAGAGCCTTAGCCAGTAAGCACCAAAGTCAATCACGGCATTAAAAACATTGAAATACGCTATCAAATGAAGCTAGAATAAGAGCCTTAGCCAGTAAGCACCAAAGTCAACCATCGTATTGGAAACATTGAGATAAGCTATCATAAAAGTTGTTTTTTTTTATTGACATTAATGATAGAAATTAAAATTATTTTTTATTAATATCTAAGTTTTATCTTGCCATAAAAGATGAATTCAGTACAATATCAGAAATTAAATTTGATGGTAGGTCGGGGGAGGGGGGCATTAGCAAAAAGGTTCTGCCCAAAGGGGGCGTTAGTTGAAAAATGTTTGAGTAACAGTGATACAGATGGATGACGGTGAATGGTCAACCATAAGTACACAGCTTCCAAAATAAGGCTTATATCAAGGTGACTGAAACCAAACATCAATATACACTGTATCGTCTTTAAATCACACAAGAAGGTTAAATTCTTTTCTTTTTATATGCCGTATCCCTTCAGGACGTAGGTCATCATGGCTCTCCACTTCTCCCCTATCCTTTGTAGTTCTCAATAAGTTTTGACCCTTTGCTACTTCCCCCAGTCCATGTTCTTGCTTAAGTTCGCTAGTTATATCATGTGTTGTTTTCCCTTGTCCCTCTCTCCCTCTATTCGACTTGTGAGTATCAGATTCTCCAAGCCTTCCTTTCTCATTACGTGTCCCAGAAATTTCATCTACCTCTTCCTGATGTTAAGTATAAGCTTCCTCCGTGTTTTGCATCCTCTCCAAAACTTCATCGTTGCTCACTCTCTCGTTCTATGATATCCTCAGCATCCTTCTGTAGAACCACATCTCCGTCGCCTCGAGTCTCTTCTTCATCTTTGAATAGACCGTCCAACATTCGCTGCCGTAAAGGAGGACAGAGGTCACGTAGCAGCTCTGTACTCTTTGCTTTCTTACCAAAGGAAACCTCCTGTCTCGCAATACTCTGCCCAACTGATAACATGATAACACGTTCTTATATTCTAAAACAAGAGCCACTTCCAATCTACACGACAAGCCAAGAACTATGCACAAAAAACCCAAAACAAATACTTACAAATATAAATCCATTTTAAATACTACCGAACAATCGACATGAAAATTCTTTCAAGACATTAATCTGCAGAATACCTTTCAAGTTCTTAAAGTAATATGTACTCCAAAATATAACTTCAACAAAACTGTTATAGTGCAGCACACCTATTCTATAGTTAATAGACTCTCCCACTATAATAAGTAGGAGTAGTAATAGTAACGGGGAGTCGCTCAGTGGGTCGGTCAGTCAGTCGATGCCGAACGACCGTTAGTCGAATACTAAAGTATCAGCGACCACAACTAGATTACTCTGCGTCATTACCTATTATATCAAGTTCCTAACGTTTTGTACGTCGAACCTATTTTAGGACCGACTTAGTACAAATACAAGCCTCCACTGTGAAATTCCTCTACAACAAAAACTACAACATAAAACACGCATATCACTGCCTCTTGTACTTATGTCCACACAAACATGTATATGTACAAAAGCTGAGTATCATTTACCATGTATGCAATTGTGAAAGCAGAATAACAAATATTTTTACTACTTCAATTCTCCCAAGAAAATTAAATTACAGCATTAAATGACCCATAAGAAGTTGATATGCCGTAAAACAAATAAATGAACGAATCAATACTTGCTATGAATGATTCGGCATCCAAAAAAAAGCATCAACCACCAAAAATATTTCAAACACGAAGATCACCTCTACAGATATTAGATCAACCATAGGGACATTTATCAAATAAAAATGGCAGAAACGATTACCTGGCTTCCCAAACAATAAATCATACAACATCAAACCTACTCTAGAAGAATGCCATCTAACACTAAAAACAAGGAAAGATGAAGGAATAATGCGCAGACTTCATATCAGACAATCCATGATAACACGTTCTTATATTCTAAAACAAGAGCCACCTCCAATCTATACGAGAATCCAAGAATTATGCACAATAAAAAAAATACTAACAAATATAAATCCGTTTAAAATACTACCGAACAGCCAACATGAAACAATTCTTTCAGGACATTAACCTGCAGAATATCTTTCAATTTCTTAAAGAAATCACCGCCTCTTGTACTTATATCCACACAAACATGTATATGCACAAAAGCTGATTATCATTTACCATGTATTCAATTGCGAAAGCAGAATATGATATTTTTAGTTTCTTTTTAGTTCTTTGACGTTCCATTCTTTGCTGGTCTTTCAGGATAATCTTGCTATTCAAGAGGCGAAGTTGCAGGCGGCAAATGCGGATCTGTTGAAGGCTGAAGAGCAGTTAGGAGCCAAAGTGGCCGAACTAAACAGCGTCAAAGCAGAATACGACAAAGCAATGGCGGAAAAACAAGTAAGTAGAGTGACTACTCGTTTATCCACGCGTCTCGTTGTTTCAGTTAACCGCGGTCAGATTCAGAAATATGTAAAATTGTACTTATTAATAGGGCCAAAGTACTTCATTAGCGATGCTGGTAATTCAGATATGTAAAAAAGAAGGGAGCTCTTTAACCCTAGACTAGAACAGATTAAGATTATAGTGATCAGGGAAACATTTTCTTGTGAAGAGGTTCTACAGGGCAGTGTTTTGCGAGAAGAAGCTGTTCGATCGGAACTTCTCGCCGATGGGATACTGGGTGAATTTAGGTAGTTTGCTACAATGTAAATGGCATCGCTTAAGCGAGAAACGAAGTGAAATTTCCTGATTTAATGCCGTAATTTCCCATATATAATAGGCCGTCATTCATAATGCTGAAAGTGTAGGAAAATGCTGCTACTCATGCATAATACGCATCCCTTGTTTAGTAATCAAACCCTATAAATTGTACCTCTCCAATTTCATTACGGCCAGCGTTTCCTACTCATTTAAAAAAATAGTTTTAAACATAGAATAATATTATTCTTATTTAGTTTTATGATAATTCTTATTTTATTTTACGGCAAATTTTAAAGATTTTTTGTATCTGTGCATAATACGCATCCCTGATTTTACATATTATTTTTGAGAAAAAAATGCTTATTATACATGGGGAATTACGGTAAATAAAAATTCGTCTGTTGAGGTTGCTAAGATTTACGATAAGAATGAATATTCTATCTATACTATTTTGGTATATTTTTATAATTGGTCGATTTCATTATAAGGCATCGCTGTTAATCTCTTATTGTGCCTATAAGATCTGTGTTAAGAACGAATATTCTGTGATATAACTTTTATATTATACTAAACCACACATGAACCCACTAAGTTTCTTTTAAAAGCAGTTCATGGTACAAAATGATGAGGTAACAATATTACCAATTTTATTATTAATTACACATTTTAATTTATAATTAAAAACAGTAAAAATTTTGTTTTCATAATTAACATACTTAAAATTTAGATCAAAACAGGTGTATTGTTTTCAAAATAATAAGTATCTTTTAATAATTATTAGTCAATAATAATTACACATTTCCCGCCCAGAAAACAAATGACAAGCTCCTAAAAGGCTTTAATATAGTGATTTTCCAAGCGCTGCTTGGATGTGGCACAAGGCCGAAATTAGGGGGTACCCAGTGAGGATCGAACTCACTTCTCAGTCGTAATTATTCTAGCGAGCCAAGCTTGCTAAACATTATATCACCTCCAGGTGCCCCAAAAGGCTTTAATATATCCTGATTTAAAATATTAAAATAAATTATTTTATGACATCTATATATAAATGTTTTACTGCTTTAAATTAAAAGAGAAATCTCCTCACTTTTCAGTTTCGATAGAGTTCAATAGCGTCTCCGAGTCCTCTTGGGTGACGAATTTTTCCACCTTCCAATTTCTCCCTTACAGGTGGAATGTGGTGTGCTTCTGGCTGCTCTGTCGCTAATAACATGGAAAGTGCTCGGACGAACTGCATTCTTTGATTCCGCCAGGTCAAACCTTTACGGCTAGGACCGGCCATGCCATTTACATTGTAGCAAACTACCTACATTCACCCAGTATCCCAACCGTGAGAAGTTCCGCTCGAACAGCTTCTTCTCGCAAAACACTGCCATGTGAAACCTTTTCACAAGAGAATGTCTCCCTGATCACTACAATCTTAATCTGTTCAAGTCTATGGTTAACAGTTATCTCCCCTTCCTTACCGTATAAAGTATGTCTTAACCTAACCATTTACCACCAGTGTCCCACTGTCCATGTACAGCAAAAAATAATAAAAAAATAAAAATAAAATTATAAATAAAAATTAACAAATAAAATAGAAATAAAATAAATGAATAAATAAATAAATAAATAATAATAATAATAAAAATGTGACACATGGGAACATAAACAGTTCCTGTTGTAGTTGGAGTCCTCCGATTAGTTGGAAAAGATTCCATTGAAGGGATTCCTGGTAGCTCATACCTTAAAGAAATACAAAAAAAAATGTTCTCACGAGTACAACCCACACCTTATGAAGGGCTTTGTCGATCTAACTTTTTTTTTCCAGTGGAAAATGTCATGATGTCATTTCTAACCTTAGGTCTCTGGCCGGGACCCGGAAAGAAACGAGTACACATCAGAAATCAAAGGAAATAAAATAATAATAATAATAATAAAATAAATATATAAAAAATAAATTGTAAGATTTTCATTTCAGATTTGGTTTACTGTTCTGATAGTTTGACAAAATTTCAAAATTAAGTTTTCAAATAATTTGACGCCATATTTATTTATTGACAGGCTCTCGTTGATGATTACGATACGTGCCTCCGAAAGATGACCGCTGCGTCGGAATTAATATCAGGATTGGGAGGCGAAAAAGAACGTTGGACAGAAGAGAGTAAAGAATTCGAAGCACAAATTGGACGGTAAACAAGTTTCTTTCCGCCTCACGTTAATGACGTGCTGTTTAACTGCAATCAATTATCGGTGCACTGTTTCTGTCTATATTTCTCTTTCTCATTGTACCATTCGTTTCTTTTAGAACTAAGCACTCCACGGTTCGTACACATTCTTCTCAACGATTCCTTCAAGCAGTCAGTCAGTCACTTACGTGACATGCGTTATATACGCTTAGGCGATCATGTATCTTTCGATACATGACTGACGAGGCAGATTTTTTTTTTCCCGCAGTAGTTTGCAATTTTCTTTCTAGACCTGTTGCCATCCAAGACTATAGAACCAGGTCTGTACTTCTATTTCCGGGGGGGGGGGAGATTCATACCTTTCCCAAAGTTATTAGCACGTAAGTGAATGTAATGGATTCGAATGTAATTCGAACTCGGCTCTCCGATTCCTTGTCTTAGATTCTCCAAGCTCCGTAGCGAGCTTACTGTCTTCCAAACAGAGTTCCCTTGAATAATCGCCAAAAAGTAATTTTTCGTGTATAATACGCATCATTAATTTTGGACCTCTAAATTTTCTGAAAAAATCCCCCGTGTATAATACTCAGTGATTTTATTAGTATTTTTAGCAGCTAAATTTAAACTGAAATTAATGTTTTTTTCATTTTTTGTTCGGCTTGTGTAGACTATAAATAAGTCAGTCAGTTATGTGACATGCGTGGTACACGCTTAGGCGATCATGTATCTTTTGATACATGACTGACGAGGCAGATTTTTTCCCGCAAGAGGTTTGCCATTCTCTCTCTAGACTTATTGCCATCCAAGGCTATAGATCCCGGTCTGTTCTTCTATTTCCGGCGGGAAAACAAGAGGATTCATACCTTTCCCAAGGGTATTAGCACGTAAGTGAATGTAATGGATTCGACTGGAATTCGAACTCCGTTCTCCGATTCCTCAATCAGAGCTGCTATCTATATATCCACCGTGCCTCCTCTTTCAAGCAATAATCCCAAATACACTTCGTTTATTTTTTCGCTAACATCTGTGACGAGTTTGCATCCAGTCATAGCGATTCCTGTACGGACTAAAATCTATGACCGACATCATATTCTTATATATGGCGTCACTCTTCAGGACATAGGCGAACATGACTCTGAATAACTTTCTATTCCTCGTAGCAATGATCCCTAACTATCGCTGTGTACCCTTTGTAGCTCTTGACAGTTATTGTCCTTTTAGTATAACTGCCTCTCCCTGTCCTGTCATTCCTCCACGCAAACTCGTTATGTTACTCAATATCTCTATCTCTATCTCTTTTGACTGCAGTATATCTGTAGTGGAACGTGGCGGTGAACATATAAAGAACACACGTCGGTTAAAATGTCCTGCTAGCCGGTCCAGCTACAAGAAAATAAACAAGACCGATAATTATATACAAACAAATATATGTATTAACAACAAGTTACATGGAAAGTTACATTGAGTGCGTGTGGTGAATATTATGTGTGTGTATTGTGGTGAGTGTTCGTACGTACGTGTATTGGAATTGTTCTTAGCGTGTTCCCAGAATTTGGGGAACGCTGTATTGGTGAGAGCTCACATATCGGTATTAGCTGAAATGAAGAGAAAAGAATTACCCCACATCATCAACGCGAGGTGGTTTAAGGCCCAAGGCCCGAGGGAAAAGAGAGATCGTGGTAAAAGGTCACCCAGTATTTATAGACAGGGTAGAGAGACACCTGGTGGAGCGTTAAGGAACTAAGGAGGAGCTAACTCCGGCATTTCCTTGCGAGTATTAGATTCTCCAGGCCCCGTAGCGAGCATATCGTCTTCTAAATTAGACAGAGTTCCCTTGAATAATCGCCAAAAAGTAATTTTTCGTGTATAATATGCACCATTAATTTTGAACCTCGAAATATTCGGAAAAAATCCTCCGTGTGTAATACGAACTGATTTTATTAGTATTTTTAGCAGCTAAATCTAAACTGAAATTAACGTTCTTTTCATTTCTTGTTCGGTTTGTATAGATTATAAAAAAAAATTGATATAGTTTACATTATGCTTTGAAACGATATTTCGAGATTCTTGACAAAGTCCAAAGAACGATCTGTAATGTAATCGATCAGGACCTGGCATCTCGATTTCAGTCAATTTCTCACCGAGGTAACGTGGCTTCCCTCTGTCTTTTCTAGAAATATTTTCATGGCAAATGCTCTGATTAGCTTTTTTCCCTGGTACCAGACTACATTAATTTAAACGTGCTACTAGATTGGCATTTAGGTCCCACCGTTTTACTGTTGAAATAGCTAGATGTAACCGCCACTTCTACTCTAGCATTTTCTTTTCTCGCACTTCCCTCTGATTTCTAGCTTCCCTGCTAATTACAATCTTCAAAAATTTAAATGCAACGTCGATTGCCATCTTCTGTCTGCTTGAACCCTGTTCTTTTTTTTGTCCTTTCCTCATTCCTCCCCCATTCTCAGTCTTCTCATTCTCTTTCAGTTTCACTCCCTGTAAATCCCCGCCCCTACGTTTTACTAGCATTATCGCCCTGTTTGGGATGGAAAAAAGACAAAGAACAAAAACATCTATTTTGAGCAAACATGTGTACATATTCCCACTAAAATGTAACAAACAACGTGAAGTTAAAAAGATAAACAAAATACTAAAGCAGATCTTCCCCAACCTTCTTTCACTCAAATTTTTCACCTTTAAGAAAAAAATGATTCCAAAAATGTTTTTATTTGTTCATAAACTGACTTTATCGCAATAGTAAAAAAAACAAAAAAATAAAAAAATAAAAAACCAAGGGAGGTAACAAATCCCAAAGGGAGGTAACAAATAACGCTGACTTAAGCGGCCTCTGCTGCGGCTCTTATCGTATTAAAGAACAAACGAAAGAAAATTTTAACACTGAAATCTCTATATGTAATTTAGTTTTATTGTCAAGGTTAGTTTTATGGCTAGGGTTAGCGTTGCAAGTATGACAAGAAATTAATTGATTCTTGTTCACAATTATAAATTAAAAAGAATATAGAATATTAACAACTAATGAAAATTCAGAGAATAATTTTATATTTTTCTTGGTTTTCCCTTATCTGATTTATATCAGAAAAAGTATTATTCCGTCTGAAGAACTGTTTGAAATTTAATGCCACTTCTCAAAACTACAGAAAATACCAAATGTTACCGAGTTATTTACAATTAATCTCCTTTTTAAATAGGTTCTTTGGGTATCTCCTTTGAATATTTCATTCGGGTAGCTTATATTCAAATAACTTTTTAATACTCAAAATCCAATAAAACTTCCAATCGCTCACCATATTCTGTTCAGCTACTACTTGCCAACCAAACAGTAGAAATCCTTACCCCCGGTGGCCATTATCGCCCAGGCTGGTAAATCCTGTAATAAACAAACACACACTCCATTGACGAGTGACTATTTCTCTGTTGCGACGCGAAATAAAAGTCGACATTATTACTACCACGTTATGGCAAAGTCATTAAAAAACTACTGTACCAGGATTGCGCTGGACGTCAGTGAAGACGACATCATTTTGAATAAGGACAAAGTGACGATGGCAGATGATGGCATTAAAGATGACAAAGACATCTATTCCGTTTGAAACGTCTATAAAATTGTCGTGACGTTGATCTTTGACACGGGCAGCAGTGAAGCAGTCAAAAATGCGTTCAGAATTTATGTAAATGATTTTATCTTAAATAAATGCAGTATTTGGTTTGTTATTTAAAATCTTTGAAACAAATTAGACATTTTGGTCCATAAATAATTGTCCAGAATATGGCGACAGAAGTAGCCGGACAAATAGTTAGTTCTTCTTGTGCATAATGCGTAAACTTAAATTTTAAGCTTAAAAATCAGGAAGACAGTTCGTATTATAAACGAATAATCACGGTACTGTTGTTTAATTCGTTGTAGCTAGATATAGCAGATGGGTGCCGTCAGGTCGACTTGTCCAGAACACGCAGTACGTAAATGAATACTTCTTCGACTTTAAACCCAGATATTAGCATGCATCCGTGATTTGGAGGGTGATGGTTAGATGCTCAGTGACCCTACGACCGGCTGATGATGATGATGGTAGTGGGTAAAAAAAATATTTTTACGTACTTTAAATGCTCAGTGTGAAAAATGGGTTGCATTAGAGCGATCCTGATTAGATCCTTATACCAGATAAAACTTAATAAATGCTTATGCTCTAACTATAGGGGAACGATTGATGGGTCGTTTCCTAAGAAATTTATTTATCTTGGGTTTTTCTGGAATAGGATAGCACAAGGATGAAGTAACGAAAAAAGGTCGTTTTGAACCATAAAACTTAAAATGTTATAAATTGGCTGAAACAAAATTTTATTAATTTATTTATTTAACATCAGAATCAAAGCAATGTCGTCAACGATACAGCAGGGAATACATTCCATCACTAGAACACTAAAAGTTACTGATAAAACTGCCGGAAATCATTTTCAACCTTGCTTGCACTTGTGCACATATGCCGTGCGTATATGCATCTAATGTCCGGAAAATTAGTCAACATTAGGAAACAAGTCTAGTAGATAGGGAGTGTGAAAAAAGACATTTTTTTTCGTCTTTTCTTTTGTGAAGTACGAGGGATGGAAAGTCTATAGGCTTACTGTGAAGGAGTGATACTAGAACTGTGAAACCTTTCATGCATTAACTTCAACTCTTCTTATTAATAATTGCATTGTTTATGTTCAGGCAAACATCTGACTGTTTAAGGCAGACTGTTCATTCGGCAGGTAAAAAAAAGTAATCAACAACAGATATGACGTCATCACTATTCCGATACTTGTGCCCAGTCAAGTGTTTTTTTTTTTAAATTTTGGAAAACAGATGATAGTCAAATGAGGAGAATAGAGAAACGGGATCAACCAGTTTAAAACCACAGTCACGCACAGCATATTGTCCTGATGAAACAAAACAATGCCAAATTTTCCCGTGAGGGTTTCCTTGAACTTTTCGTAACCCATAATGACTTTTGTTCATCACTTTGTGCCAAAGACAGAGAGAAAACCAATACAGTAAAAACAATCCTCTTTACCTGCTCCAAAGAAGACTTCAGTTTTGGGGCATGCAAAAGGTATTGGCTGTCTCCAAAAGGGCCACACCATCAATGGAGAGTACAAAATCAAATTGCTGAGGCAATTACGGAAAACTGACGAAGGGATTTTTGTTTCAGCAGGACAGTGATCCAGCGCACATGTCCTTCGTTCCAATTGAACTTGTATTCTTTGACTTCAAAATATAATTCAGGAAGTAGTTTAGGTTTTTCGATATTTAAATTTTTCAATAACATTTTGAACTGTTATAAAGTATGCACTTGCAGAACTTTGTCTTAATTTTCCAAATTGATTTTCTAAATAATCTGTCATAAATTAACCAACCATAACAAAATTAATTAAACCCATTACTTAGCGGAAAACATCAATTAAGCCATTGCATGTATGTTCAATGGCTAAACTGGTATCTCTTCTTAATGGTTTCATTCTTTTTCCTTGCTTTTCTTTTCATTATTTTTGGTATTTTCTTCAGATTAGAAAGAAACAACAGATGTTCATCATCGAAATCTGATATCACGTTTTTCAGTGGATCAATTTTATTATTACCATATACATATTTATTTGACATAGATTTTAAGACTTTTTCAATGAAATTAATGGATTTTTTTTAATGGCCGCTACAGTTTGATCACAAAAAACAATGGGAAACATTTTGTCGCTCAACAGGTTTTGGATAAACTGCTACATGATTTAGTTTTGACAGCTTAACAAATTAAATTTTTCATATTGAAAAAGACCTTTTACAATTTTCTATTTTGCTGTCATCTTTTTGCCTTCAGAATAAAACAGTAATTCAAAAGTAGGTTCAGTAATCCAATTATTCAGAATATTTTTAAAACGGTAGACATAATCAAAAACTAAGTTCAAGCCATTTTTAATTACCCAAGGCTTATTAAAAACAGTGTCAGTTTTTTGGAAAAAAGACTGATGGGTCCTTTGCCACATAGAATTGCAATTAGTTGACCATATAATTGTTGATTGCATCAGCAATATATATAAACATTTTAATATGAAATGTTGCATCTAATTTTGCAACTGGGATCATTTTAAGTGAATTTTTTAGTCCACCATTTAAAAATTGTACCATGATTTCCAATACTCTATTTGGTAATCCCTCAGAATTTTCAGCCAAACCAAATAAATTTCCTCCATGAAATTGTAGAGAAACTTGTCATATACTTCATCAACTAGAAGAATAAACTTTTTTCTGATTTTTAGAAATTTTACTAACAATATCACCGAGAAAAATCATCTAATTTCGAGACTTTTGATGCCAAAGCTGATAATGTTCTTACACTGTGTAACTTAAAATCATCCTGAAGTCTCTTATATAATGACTGAAATGTAACAAAATATTCAAATGTCCTGATAAGAATATCAGAATCATAATGTTTTGTCCCAATCCTTTGTGTTGACATGGCATTAATATGTTTTTTTTTTTATTTTTTCTTATCAATTTTTAAATTACTAAGATAACGAATTGCTTCGTCGATTTGTGATCAGTGCTGAAACATTGATATTTGGCTTTTGAAAGAGAAAAAATTGTTGTATATATGCCAGAATGATAACATTCGAATTTCAATTTTGAAAATTTTTAATTAAAAACACTGGAATAACCCCAGTGAAAAAAAAATCAGTTGATTCAATGAACAACTGATTATTTGATCTATAGCATGTAACTCCTGACATAAAATCCTGTTGACTAATATTCTGATACAAATTTTCAAAAATGAGGATTTTGTCTTTTTCTAGAAACTGTGCCAAATCATCATTTTGCCCATTTTGCACAGAAGCAAAAATTTTATTTGTTATTCTTGGTTTGGATTGAGGGCGCGGTAAATGATCAAAGGTGAATTTCTTAGTCGTACTTTTCCTCCAATAACTACTGTTTCATAAACAAATGGAAAATGCCTTTCACAAACAACAATATCTGGTTTGTCAGTCGTGTTGTCTTGAGGTATAGCATCTGACCATTGTTCTCGCTGATTCTGATCTTGGAGGAAGACGAAATACACGAACCTTATCATAGTTAATATGACAACCTGATACAAAGCACTTTTTGACCATTTTGAGAATGGTTTTGGGGTACTGAAATTAAAAAAACAAATATTAACTAAACTGTTATTTTGTAAAAATTACATGGTACTTATAAAAAGTATATGAAACTTATATTCTAAAGTCTGCAGGGTTTGGACTTCTGAATTTACGTTTCAGAATTGAAAATTTAAAGTTTGTATTCATGTGGGAATCATTTAGAGAGTAACATGGATTAAGAAATGCCAGAACGAAGGAATTTGGGGATTCAGACATGGGAATTTTAGAGTTTGGAAAATTTAATGTTGGATAATCGTATTTTATGGGGCGGGTGGGGGTGTTGGCAATAAATCACCAACTCCACCATGAAATACGATTACCTAAACAAAATTAACCAGTTTAATATTTTTGCAGTATATTTTTTTTTATAAATTTACTGTAAATATATTAAACTGGTTAATTCTGTAACTTGTTTTACATATTAAACAACAATTCAACATACATTTTTTAAATAACTGTAAATAAATATTTTTTTCAAATTTTAAGACAATATATTTGTTGCTATGAAGAATAATATCATAGACAAAATATTAAATTAATTTTTTTTCAAATGGGCAAATTTCTGTATAGTAAAAAAGGAAAATGTGCAGTGTAAAAAATTACATTCATTGTTTTTGTTTTTTTATCGAATGATAAAGAAAACAGAAATTATTTATTTTAGAATGAATATTATAATCAAAATATTCGTTATTATCAAGAATATCCTAGAGAATAAAAATAAAAATAACTTTCTGTGACAAAAGTCCTAATAATAACATTTTTTTGTAAATTTCACTGTTTAAAATAATCACAAAAAAGTGAAAAAGAGAAAGAATATTGACAAGAGAATATTGTCTTTTTTATACTGGTATATTTTTAAGAATAGTTGTAAAATATTAAATTTATTATTGAAATTAATTTTTGAAATTAACTTTATCTGATGAATTCTTTAATAAGTGTCATTTTTCATTAATTTTGCAGTGAAAAACATTACATGTTTATTTTTAAACGTTTCGATTTATTTATGAGGGACAGAAAAATTAACATACTTTTAAGAAAATACCTGTTATGTTAAATAAATACAAATTATTCATAAAAAATGAATATGTTCATAGCTGAAGAAAAATAGAAAAAATTATTAAAATTAAATTAAATTTATGTGATAAATTTTTAATGACATTTGTGAGTTTCGCATCGTAAAAATTTGTTTAAAGAGAAAATATTCAATGTTCAAATAAAATAGATAAACATTGTACACACTTCAGTATCATGAATAATAAACTTAAGCTAATTGAAAGGTTAAAAGTAAAATTTCCTTTAAAAATAATGAAATTCCATCAAGGAACTTTTGCGTGTCCGTCCCAAGTCACCTATTGGCCTTAATTCGATTTCGAGGTCTGAGTTATGGATCGCCTTGATATCTATCTATCTATCTATCTATCTATCTATCTATCTATCACTGTCTGTCCCTATATCTATCTCAGTTTCTTCATATCTATCTATCTATCTATCTATCTATCTATCTATCTATCTATCTATCTATCTATCTATCTATTTTAAAATCTTTGAAAAATCAATATTATTTTTGCACTTGTGCATAAATCCTTGTTATAAAATAAAATCTTTACATTTGTCTTAATAAAATATCTCAGAGGACGAAACGCATAGGCTAAGATAAATTTTCCTTTTGTCTTTAATCATATCTATCTATCTATCTATCTATCTATCTATCTATCTATCTATCTATCTCAGTAAGCAACTAAGCCTAATCAGATCGCTATGGATTGACTTGCTACAGCAAAAGAGATCACTTGAAAACCTTTTAATGAGTTGCGAAACTTTAAAATGAATCCAATAGCATTTTCTTCAATCTTCCTAGATTGGTTGGTGACGTCCTCATGTGTACAGCTTTCCTGTCCTACGCCGGTCCATTCAACCAAGATTTTCGGTTCAGTCTTTACAAGAAATGGGTGAAAGAACTGAAGAGTCGCAAGATTCCTTTCACCGCCAACCTCAACATCACGGACATGCTTACTGATCCTACAATGGTAAGAGACAATTTCTTTGCACCTCGATTTTTATGGGCTACTCATTTTACGATCCTTATCGTTAAATCTTGATGTTTCCAAATGCGAATTGTAATGGTGATATTAACCGTTTCCTTATAAGGAAACATTCGGTAGCCATTAGCCGAGTATCCATTGCCACTTTCGGTTAAAATTTATAAAACCTCTCTCTTAAAACAATTTTTCAGGAAAACAATTTTCTGAAGTTTACTGTTATCGTTCTTTACAGTATTGATGGAGGTTTCCTTCCTAACCTTTTGTTCGAAGTAGTGTGGAATGTCAACATCTTGATTATGTCATTATTTTCTCTTCGACTTACATGTGATATCCATTTTAGTTGTTGAAATTCTTCAAGTAAGGTTACTTCATTTATTTGCTGCAGTTTGTTGATTGTGATTGTGTAGCACCAGTCCATAAGGTTCAGTGAAGGATGGAACTTGGTAATAGCTACAGACTTTATTCGCTCGAAGACATACAGCTGCCAGTTTATTTATTTCTGAAAAGATCTCGAAAAATGATGATCCTCACTAAGACTTACACGCATTCTTCACTCAAAGCCATTTTTAGCCATTGATTTGAGAAAGCGATTTTATGCAACTGACAGTTTAGATATTTCTGAGCAAATGTCTAAGAAGAAGACCTACATGCTTCCTTCACTCAAAGCCATTTTTACCCATTGGTCATAGATCACTATTGTATACAGCTGCCTGTTTAGATATTTCTGAACAGATCTCGAAAAAATGATGTTCGCTGCCAAGACCAATATGCATCGTTCACTCAAAGCCATTTTTGGCCCTTGATTTGAGAAAGCGATTTTATGCAGCTGACAGTTTAGATATTTTTGAACAAATCTTTAAGAATTTTGCTCCTCACCAAGACTTGCATGCTTCCTTCACTCAAAACCATTTTTAACCATTTCTCTGAGAAATCGGTTGTATAAAGCTTACTGTTCAGATCAGCATGGACAACCTTTTTCGACCAGTAAGCCGCGTGAGTTACGATTCATCATAAGGCGGAGCGCACTACTAAATTAAATTCAAGATAATTATCCGTTGAAGGTACCGCTTCCAATTTTTGTACGGAAGGATATACGCGTAATCATCTGTCTTGGAAAAGAGAAAAGGTTGATTTTTCTTTTTCATTGGAATTTTTGTTTTCTATAATTTCCTATAATAAAGAAATTGATGCCTCAATCTAATGTCACAGTTGATAGCTCTATTAACACACACTGCTTAGTGCAATTCATTTCTAATTTATTCATTTGACAATGCGGGATTTCTTTTTAAGTTTTTTAAATTATTAATTAGTTTCTTGTTTCTAAAGCAAAATATATTTTCACGTATGATCTTCCTTAGTGAAAATCACCAATGGTTTAAAATATTGAAAACGCTGTCGTCAACGAAAAGTTACAAAGATTAATAATTATTGTATTCAATCATTGTTTATGCACGTGGTTATATTTGTGTGCGAGACAGTGTGTGTGAACAAGTGAGAATGAAAGAAAATAAATGAACATTAGGCGTGCCATTCCGAAAGCCAAAGGTAGTGCCCATGACTGGTTTAGATCTTTATGAACGAGTTTGGTGACATACATGGCAGCCATCCAAAAGGCTCGGCCTGGTGAGGCCATTTAGTGGATGACTCGAGACAACGCCCACAATTGTTGTATACACAGGAAAAACATCATCACGTGAGTAGCAATAATCTGATAGATTTGTCATCTAAATATTTCTTTGCGTGGGGACCCCCCCCCGTAATTGTTACAAGAGTCACGTGATTTCCTACAAAAAAATCTCTTTCGCAAGTTTTTATTTTTTTATTTTCCAGATTGGCGCGTGGAATCTCCAAGGCCTTCCTAATGATGATCTATCTATACAAAACGGCATCATTGTAACAAAAGCTGTGAGGTACCCTCTGCTGATTGACCCCCAGGGGCAAGGCAAAAACTGGATAAAAAATAGAGAGGCGAAAAACGAACTTCAGGTTTGATCTTTCTTACATAACCTATTTTTCGGAAAATTTTCATATAACTGTATATATTTTTTTACATTTTATTTTGCCAGTAACGCCTGATTGAATTACTAAAATTATTTCCATTGTGTCGAGCGGGCTTGAGAACTTTTACACGGCGTGGCCGATAGACACACTTTAAAACTCACATCTGGTTACAACGTGAGCGCCCTGATAAGATAGCACTAATCAAACCCTGAAGACAAAACTATAGAAATAGTAGCGAATACGTTTAACTAATTATAGTTTCAGCTATGTTTCTGAGACATAATGAGGAAGGAGGGCCTGGAGAACCTGATACTCACAGGTCGAATAGAGGAAAAGAGTAACAAGGAAAACAACACGTGACATACCTTGCAAACTTAAGCAAGTGGATGAGTGACGTGGCCTGGGGGAGGAAGCAGAGGGAAGGTACTTATTGAGAGGGAGGTGGAGAGCCATGATCGCCTACGTCCTGAAAGGACATGACACATAAAAAGAAATTATAGTTTACAACACCTTTCTTTCAATGAAGTGAAATGACATAGAATACAACTATATTCTTTTATATACTATTTTTAAATGAATGAAACATACAAATCTGGCTCGAAAGTGGGATAGGAGCACAAAACATTTCACCGCAAACTTACACGGCATGTAAGCGAATTACATGGCATTTTAAGCAACTTACTTTTTTTTTCATTTTCAATTTCCCTTTAATTTTCACTTTCAGTTTCACTTTTACTTTCAGTTTCACTTTCACTTTTCTATTTATTTCTTAATTTATTTCATTATTTATTTCTTTATTTTTTCCCAAATCACGCGATTCCGTGTGTAAATATCCCCATAGTATAAGGAGAAAAAATGAAATTGAACATTAAGTATTTATTCAGCCATGTGCTATGCGTGAGATACGCTTAGGCGATCATGTATCTTTCGATACATTACTGACGAGGCAGATTTCTTTATGCGGTAGACGAGTTGCCATCCAAGGCTATAGAACCCGGTCTGCTTCTCCGTCTACTTCTATTTACCCATAGCTGGGCGGGGGAGAAGAAGCAGATTCATATCTTTCCCAAGGGTATTAGCACGTAAGTGAATGCAATGGTTTCGACTGGAATTCGAACTCCGATTTCTCAATCCGAGCCGCTTTCCATTACTCCACCGTGCCTGTATCTGTTACATACTTTTATTTGGGAACAGAGAACCAACGTATACAAACTACTGATTTTCCAGCTTCTTAGAATAGCAACTACAGAAGAAAGCGTTTATTATAATCTCGTATAATGTTATCAAACGTTTATTGTTATCAAAACCAGCCGGTCCCAAATATATGGAATGATTGAAGGCGAATTAAAATTTATACGATAAATTATTCAAAATCTTGGGGAAATGTTATAAAAAAATCTTCATCTTGTATTTGAAAGTAGCAGCAAGTATTATTACAAATGAAGTTCTTAAAACAAGCGTAAATCATATGTCAAAAGAAAATTTTGAAAATCGGTTGACTGTTGATGACAAAAGTTCAAGTGATTGTCGTAAACATGTCAAACTGTTAGCAATGTAGAGTCTGAATTATAAGAAAAGAATGCAAAACCAAATCGGGTAGAAATTTCGGATCTTCTTAATGATGGCCGGGTGCGAGAAGCTCAAAAAATACTTCATCGCATCATACAACATTGATCAATAACATTTCAAATGCTTTACGAGTCTGATCAATTTATTAATTAATCTGGGAAAGGCAAACAGAATACATTAAACATTAGGTAACTTTTTTAAGTAAATAATTTTAAAAAGACAAATGGTGATTGTTCCTGGTTTTATTTCTTTTGTATAATGCTATCAAGCGGTTATTATCATCAAAACCAAAACTTTTACTTAAAATAAATTGGGCGAAAATGTATGACAAAGTGGGAAAAAGGTTTCCTGTGACGCGTTTCGTCCTTTTTTTATATATATAATCTAGCGGATTTCATTTAGATTCTTTTTGTTACCACCACTTTTGTTATTAAATCTCCCACAGTGTGATAATAGAAGATTTGTCAGGAATGGTGAAATGTTGTAAGAGACTGGGTACAAATTTACTGTCGATGACCTTGCGATCAAGTCACTCTATTGACATTTTCATCTTAATGAATTATTTTCTCCTTTGACCAGAGTATCATTTTTTATGTCAAAATTGTGGACAGTCTTGTTACGGTGAGCAACTAATGCATTTGATATATTGTTTTGTAAAATGTCCCTTTTGTGTTCATGTAATCTTTTATTTAGATTTTTTAAGGTTACGCCTATGTATTTTTGTGACAACTATTACAGGCGATCGAATAATTTCCTTATTTTTTATTGACCGTTTATTTTAATCAAAATTCCAGCCATTCTTTGCCAACTAACCAAGGTGAATTATTCTAATTTTTAACTCCTTTGCTTAATGTTATCAACTGGTTATTGTTATCAATATAAGTAAGTCTTAAACACTTTATTTGAAATAGAGCTAACAGTATCCAC